AAGCTGAATAATGTCAGGGAGTTTGGGATGGGGATGGGAGAAGATCGGTAATGAGAAAACACTTCAATGAATATGGGGCAGAGAACATTGCTAGCACTGAGAAAGCAGTGTGAATTTAATAGAGAAGAACATTTCACAACAAATGAGGAGTAATCATGATGGTCAAATATAAAAATGTTTAAGTTTTCCATTCACTTTTTCTGAACATGCTTACTTTCCACAGGGACTCAAAGTAATCATGGGCTTTTACGACAGAACCATTCTGAAAAATAAGTAGTTCTACTTAGTCATTCAAATTCATGTACATAGTAGCCATATCCAAGCACTCATGAATAAAAGGTGGCACGTTCTTCTTCTAGTGGAACAGACAAGTTTCCTCCCTAGCTTTAGTAACGATACCATGTTCTTCTGCCAACACAAGTACTCAGTAAGCAGAAGATCTTGTTGAAAATGCAACTACGGAGCACAACACATATTGATCAAATTATTTGGCTTTTGAGTTATGTAGAAGAGCATATAAATTAAGTTTGGCACACATCAGATAGGCAATAACTAGTGGCAACAATGCAGTTACATGAAGACAAAGTACAAGATAGAGAGGATGAACGGAGTGAATGAGGTGACATAAGTGAGCAGCATGAATAAAGGGGATAGAGAAGGAATTTAATAAGTTAAATGGGCATGAGTTAGCATGTGTAGGAGTAACTGATTGCCCTTTCCAATAGTCAGGAGTGATTTTCTTTTTTAATTGGATCATGCTTCTTCACTGCCAAATTGGATGCCATTTTTTTGCCCTTCTCTAGAACAAAATGTTTAAAATAAGTTTTAAAATATTTAATAATGCAAAATGGAGATACAAGAGTAATCATCAGAAACCTGCTGCCACAGAAGAACTGACTCAACTCTGTCCCTAGAAAGCCTCATAATACTTTACCCCTGCCAAAGGAGATACTGGGTAATAGTTTCCAAGACACTAAAGCGATTAAGGTTTGGTATACATGCTGATTTTGCTCTTGTCTACTTATGTCCATCCTGGGAATTGTTTTCCTTCTCTTTCCTTTGTCAAACCAGAATATTGATCTTAATGCCATGTTAAGACAGATGCTCTGTTGCACATGTGAGGGTTTTTATTTCAGTTTTTTAACAAGAAAGCTGCTTTGGTACAACAGGAAGTATGTTGAAATAAAACACATACTGCAAAAATTATGTTAATATGACCGTAACAGAATAGTTGAACAGAGCAGTCTGGCCTGTACATCAAAGGTCTAAAGTGCTATGTCTAATTCTTAAGCATAACTTAGCATTTTAGTACTTAAATTGTCCATGAGCTGTTGAGAATATTCAACATTGATTTAACTGTTAATTCCAGGCTAAACCGATTGGGGGTGGATTATATTTTTAGAAGTGTGTTAATTTTGAAAACAGTTAATGATAATAATAATAATAAAAGAGGTTGCTGAATCATTCCTTTTGACTTCTATTTTGTTCACTGTTAGCACTGGGATGAGACCTGTGGGCAGTACCTAACTCCTGCTCTGCAATACACCTCACATAATCACAATAAAAACTGTACTTCTCATCCCAAATAATATTTTCAGGAAAGGAACAAAGAATCCTAATTAAAAAACTCAACAACAGAAACAATCAGTCCCTCCTGCACAGCAGAAATTTGTGGATACTTAAAAGCAACAGGAACCCAAAGACGCAGCGTTCAGCACTTCTGATGAAAGCTTCTCCCACGATGCTTTTCTGACCTGGGTACAAAACGTCTATCTCATACTTTAAATAAACAGTCCATTGCCTTCCTTGTGACAAGTGGTCTTGCAAACGTTCATATAGCCACAAGAAATAAAATTGTCATCTGTTCTCTTGAAGACTATGGAGTATTTATGCCTTAAAACAGTCATCCTGACGTAGTCTTCAGGCTTTGCTGAATTCATGACCTCAAACCCATTTGATTTTGGGAGGCACTAAATTAATTTGGCATCTCGGACAGCTTGATCTTAACAAAGATTACCAACAGTACCATTACCTTTCTGCATGTGGGTGAACTAACTTTTCTGCTTGCAGATGAACCACTTTCTTTGCTTAACAGTTCTGATTTTTTTTTTTTTTCCTACACAACTGAGAGGTGTTTTGTTTTTGTTTTTGTTTCAAGAGATAGCTGTGTCCCAAGCATTGGTAGGACTTAGAGAAATGGGATTCTTAGTTGTGATACTAATGCTCTGTACCTATCAATCTGAAGCGCTCAGATATTCCTGCCTACTCAGGTAGCTGGCATTGGTAGTCAGTATGGGACATAGAATTAAAAGCCACTTCTGGAAGTGTTAAACCTTGAACTTTTATTTCATTTTCGCCATCGGCAAGATGCAGGTATTAGTACTTTACTCTAGAAGCCAATTCACACGTTGATTCCCTCACTTCTGACAACACATGTGAAAACTCTCAATATTCTTGAACAGGTCATTTATGCTTGAACTTGAACACAAAAGATGTTCCTCTCAAAGTGGACAATTTCTTATGAATTGAGCCAAAAATACAAAATTCACACAAACTCTTCTTGACTCAGAAAAAAAGTGATTCCATCCTTTCTGCTCTCACACCACCTGCCAATCTCTCCACCTCAAACAACCCATTTCCCAACCTCAATCTAGATGAGTTTAAGATTTGCATGCAAAAATTCACCATGTGCTTCATAATTTTTTTTTTCCTTCCAAATAGTGGTAATTAGATCTGGATCTCAATCCAAACAGCAGATGTTGGGCTTTCCATGCTGAAGAAGGCTGCTAGTGACCCAGAGGATCCTCTCTTAGTAATCACAGTATTGCCACACACGTACAGAATCTGCTAAGAAGAAAGTGCAGTGCATGGAACGCTCCTGTAATGTCAGAACAAGTCTGTGCAGGTAGTCTCCTCATAGTGAAAAAGGCTGCTATATTTTGGAAGGTGAAGAAAAGGGAATTTTCTATAGAGGGAAAGACACAGCAACGGCAGTGTGTATAACTCTCAGCGATGCTGATAATGTCTCAGGGACAGCACTTGGGTGGGACCTAGAGGTTCAGCTACCTAAAACTCTGCACTTTTGTGATACTTAATAGAGTAACCTCTAGATGGTTTCTCCATTTCATACTGGTCTGGTATCCCGTTGTCTAGATTAGGTATTTGCTAGTGTGCACCAGGCTCGCTGCCTGTGTTCTGCTGCAAATTAATTACTTAATGAGAAAATCCACAAATGGACCATTAGATAGGTTATGTTGGAACTGAGATCATATAAACAATATGGATATGAATTACATGAGATGTGGCTCTCTCAGCTTCCTCTAGTCTTCTAAAAGCATCCAGCAAAGATTACTGCCCTCACAGATGACATGTATCAGAGGGATGAATTTCAAGCAGGACCTAGCGTGAAGGGATAGTTTTCTTCTGTTGAATGTTCTTGATTACATGCACAAGGGATATAACTTGTTACTACTCTCGAAGTCTTGGGACACTTTTGAGCTGACAAACCTCCCTTTGCCTTGAAGAAGATAGGATGTTCTCTAAAAGAACAAAAAGTATAAGGATAGTATAAAAATAGTTCAGCCCACGACAGAACCACTCTCAGGGCACATCCCAGTCAGCAGCATCTCATCAGGAGTGCTACAGTCCACAGATGTTTAAATCTGAGCATTTTCCCCTTACCACTGAGCATACAGACAACTAGTTAAGTGCCAAAAAACTGAGAGAATGGGATGGAAAGAACAACAAAACCTTTGTTTACAGTCAGGAATTAAGTGGGTGCTGGAGTAGACTAAACTTTATGAGACAAATTTCTGCCAAAAAAGATTTTGCATTCTGCACTAACTGAAGCTATTGCAGTGTATGCAATTGTATGAAACAAATGACTACATTAAGACCAAATAATAATGCCATTAATTTCTTTTATTAATGTTTCAGCTCCTCCCACAGAGATTCTCACCTTCCATTTAAGAAGTTTCTACTGTATATGGTTGTGGAGAAAAAGCCTGAAGACGCAGCTGTGATATGATCTACTGGATCAGAAAACACACCAAAGAACCTCACGCCTCTTTTAAATCAAATGAATCATTTTTAAGCTTACATCACAGCATTTATGGTAACCTGACTCAAGATTTTTGAATGACTGGGCTTAGAAGTACTTTAACATATCAAACTAGCAGGCTTCCCAAATAAAAATAAACAAAGCTCTCTTCATAGCTCTTCTGGAGATTAACTCCTTTCCTCTTGCTGCATCACTTACTGCTATGAACAAGGAAAGCAGTGACAACTTTCAACTAACCATCTTATCGAAAGTCTGTGCATCCCATCTAAAACTGTCAAGATAAACAATATAATCCTCCCATGCTATGAGTACATATTCCACTTCCACAATAGAATTATCAGATTTGTAGTTACTCATACCTTTACTGTAAATAAGAAAATGAATATTAAATTGTTAAAAGTTGCTTGAGGACTTCCTTAGATGCATTAGAAATAATTTAAGCAAATAAGACATAGAACATGACTATATCGTTGCCCTGTGTCCCGTTGATTCTAAATTGCTCCTAGCTGTCTACATCACATAAAAGGAAGAAGATGCAATTTTAATGAAGTAGCTTGTCTCCCCAGAACCAACACAAATGATCATATAGCATTTCCACCACGATCAGGAATATACAATGCCAGCAGTATACCATGACTTTACAATTACATAAAGGATTTTTTGCTCAAAATTTTGAAACTCTTGGATCTCTCACTTCCATTACTTATGAAGGTTGCACAATCACATCTGACATGCCATGAAACTTCCATTGCCCCCTGCCCAGGTCTGGTCATCCTTTGATTAATATCATCTTTACCACAAAGCTACATTCATTTGAAAAAAGACTTCCCCACCACACCAAAAACAATCTGCATCATATACCATCTTCAACATTGCTTTACAAATTACTCCATCCTCATTCCACAGACATACATATAACAAAAACAATGATGTTACTCACTAGGAACTCCAGACACCAGTCGTAAGGGACGTAATACTCGGAAAGCCCGCAGTGCTTTAACGTCAAATCCGGCACCTTTTCCTCCTATTGAATTCCCCCCATCTGCTTTGGTTGCTTGTTCTAAAATTGCACTAAAAAGCCTGTAAAAAGAAAAGAAACGAGCTGTAGGCAGACAGCAAGGCTTGGGCTAAACAAGAACAGAGATCATCATCGTATCACATGAGCTATCTCACAGACCTGTGAAGAGTGCCACACATGTCACTCAACATTCGCATATGGTGGAGGAGAGACAGACTCTTCCCATATGCAATAGCCTAACGGTGATGTCTGCATCATTTGCAAAACATTGATTTCTGGAACAGACATAAACATGATGTGCTCCTCCTTCAGCCCAATGGTTCCTTTCGGCCAGCTATACCTGTCTGCCTGTTGGCATACAAAGGTGTGCTCCCTGCACTGGGTGCTTTGAAATGACCATTCTGGCAATGTCTCATGATGAAAGCACATGTGGTCAGGTTTTGAAGGCAGCCTCCGCTAAGAACATACTCATGGGAAGTTGAGTGGAAAGGCAAGAAACCACAAATTGTTGGTGTTACCCGTTCTGCTGTTAACATTTTTTTGCTATCTTTATTAACCACCCATGCACCATGGGGAAAGAATCATCATTCATAATTAACTCAATAATTAATTATCTGTCACTCATTTTACAATGAATTAAGATTTACCAAGGTCACTGCAGGTAGAACTGGGTTTAAAAATTAGAGCTCCTTCAAGGTGCACATTTTTAGATAAGAGAGTAAGCTCAGATTATGTGTTTGTGTACATTTGTAAATCTCTTGATGCAGTGGCTATGGAAAGTGCAAAACTGTAGGAGTCTTATTATTAGAATATTTTATTAGACCAGTCCAAGTGTTTTGTCTTGGCTAGTAGGAGTAGCTGTTTAAGATGTCTCTATCAAAACACATTTGAAAAGGCAGAGCAAGGCAGGAAAGAATTTTCTTCTATGAAAAGGATGAAGGCTCACCCTGTGTATTAGTAAGTGTTTGATTTAATAAATTAGCTGTCAGGAAGCAGCTTCCATGTTTCTGGTAAAACACTGGAACCTTTGGGGGAGTACGGATTCCTCATGAGTTTGCTAATGACATTGCTTTCAGCCTCAAAGCTGTCGGCTTGAACCCAGCAAAATTCAGCGAAGGTTAAAAGATGTTCCAGTCTAAATGGATGTTTGGCACTCTGCAGAAAACTTTGCCTGCAAGTGGCAGAGACCCCATGGCCCACAGCATGCCATGGAAACACTAGATGTAACTTTAAGAAGCTGCCTGGGATGCAGGCAGCAGTCTGGATGAAGTGCCCTGGATTGAGTGCTGGCTGATTTGTCTCCCAGACATCGCAGTCTGCAGTGCCTCTGTCAGGATCTCATTATCTACATTCTTAACTGGCAGACTCCACAGAGAGCCCCCAAACTGCATGTAAAGCAGAGACTGAGCTGCCTGATTGCTTTGCAGGGAGCTCTGCAGTCTGCTTACAGCCTACTGATAGGGCTGCAAATATAGGGAGCTTGCCCTGAATAGAAAAAGGATTCATTTACTGAAGCGTCTAAGCCAACACTTTTCCCCAGCACTAAAACCACAGAAAAAGATGGATTAGTGAGATGCAAATGTGAAATTAGTTTCTTAAGCAGCTTAGTTTTTTTTTCTTTTTTAAATTTTATTTAAAATTTCATATAGAGAGACCAATAAAACTTGTCATCTGTGACTGAGAAACTCCTAACTGGATCTATTGAAAGCCTCAACTACAGGCACTGCAGAGAGATTTAACAACTAGGTAACAAGTGTGGGAAAAACCGCGTGGGGGGAGGTTGGATGCTGAAGCTGTAGGTGTTGCAGACTGTGAAGCAGGATGCAGAGAAGACAAAAACAGAGCCTATCAGAAATACTGAGTTGACTACAGACACCACAGAGAGCGATAAACAAGGGCTGATGGAAGGAACGTGAATTATTGGAATGTATGTATTCCTTGAGCTGTGTATACAGATTATACAGAGTCGCAATTTTCTGCTGGTCTTCATAATAGAAACACTGTAGGTCAAATTTGGCTTAATATATTTCCAGAAAGCAAGTGATTAAGCTCTAGAAGTGTGCTCTACTTCTTATTTAAACATTTCTATCTTCCTAGTCAACACAATTCCCATACTAGATGATGACTGACATTCCCATACAACAGTCCCAGTCTCCTGGGATCCTCTGGAAGAAAAAGAATCCACTGTAAAAGGTTTCTTATGCTGTTTTTTTCAGATGTCTTCAGGTTGAGAATAAAATGTCGCAGAACTCTGGGTCAGCAATTATGCACGAGTGAGGGTCCAGTCTCCTTGCTGCCCATGGTTGGACCTACGTTCTACCAAACAGCAGTTCGTGGCAGTTGGCATCAAGGGCATTTCTCCTGCCACTCATGCAGTGAGTAAACCACGGACTGCTCTAGAATTCTGAATCCTAAGAAAAGCTACACATGTTCTAAATTAATACAAAAGACACAAAAACAAGGCAAAGCAACTCATTTCTCTGGATCAAGAACCTGCTTTCTCAGACCAGTGCAGCTCAGCTGCAGACCTTGTAACCCTTTTGTGTGCTCCCATACTGACATGCTAAACATGCTATCTTGAGGCATGGAACTGCCTACTTTGTCAGGAATAACTTGCAGCTATTGCTGCTTTTAAAAACCCACGTTTAACCTCAAATTGCATTACTCCCGCTAATCCTGCTTTAGCACATTTGCCCCATGCTTAATATCTCCCTGTGCACTAATCCTGCTTTTTACCAATGCAATACAACTTTCTCTTTATTTATTTCACTCTTCCCTCTTTATACCTGGCTCTACACTGTGTCCAATCTGGCCTATTGAATCTTTATTCCTCTCTCCAAAGTTAGATGACACCCTGCCCTATCTGTCCTTTGTTGCTCCTCCTGAGTTAGGGCAGGGGCAGCTCTATGGCTCATAGGGTACATCCACCACATGCTTTTCGGGCTGTAACTTTGTTATGACCCAGAGGGAAAAATAAGACCTGCCTAGAAATACTGCAGATGAGAAGACACAGAAGAAAGGTAAGGATTCTGACTGCCTCTTCCATCATCCTCTTTTAGGAGGAAAACCCACACCCCATATACACTCTGTTGTTTCTACAATCTCTATCTAGTCTTCCTAGTTCGTCACCTAATTGCTTTCCAGTCCTAAAAGAGACAGATGGATGTTAAGCTACTGGTATAAACTATGAGGCCAGAGTCCTAGTTATAGCGGGGGAAAGTCTGCTCTTTGATGAAAATCTGTGGGAAAAGGTACTGTAGAGCAAAACCCTGCTCTTTCTGTCTCTTCTCAGTGGGAGAGTTAGCTGAAATGCAGACTGCAAGCAAGATGTGAGAGGATTCTTTGCACACACAGAAATCAAAGTTTAGATGACATAAAAATGCAAGCAGGCTGAGCTCTTGTGGCCACTGAAAATCTTCACTTTTTTTTTTCTTTTCTATTTTTTGAAAGAATTCAGAAATTGATCTTACTTCCTTCCAGCTAACTACTTTCTTCCATGCTAAACTCATGCTCCATTTTCATTAGGATGTAGTATTTCCACTGCAGCAGTGCAGTTAACACCTTGATATCTGAATTTCATCTGTGACTTGACTACACCTGAACGAAATTCATTTGATAGGCATGGAAAGCAGAAAACATATTTCTATCACACGCAATGCGTGTACGGGCACAGTCCAATTCTGTATGATTCAGACCTACTTATGACACGTGAAGCTGGCGTCACTGTTTCCACTTTCTCATATTTTTCTGTTTCCTTTCTGATATTTGAAACATCTAAAAGGTATTCTCTTTGCTAGATGACTCTAACAGCAGCATGACAGGGCTGCAGCCTGCTCTACAACTCTTCAGTTCCTCTGTGAGGAAAGCATGCTGATTTTTAGAGCATAAAAAGGAACCTGTCAAGGGCCTCCAGAATATAAAAAGGAAACAGAGAACTTAGTATTCGTAAGGCCAAAATCAGCAGAAAAACACAGCTGAAAGAGTCCTCATAGGTATAGATAAATAGTAAGCTAGAATGATTTTTATTTTCACTGTGTTTTGCAATTCACCTGTGATTTGTGAATGTGGAAGCATTTGGGTCTGTCCTTTAGAAACTTCCCAGAGGCCTTCAGGAAGACGTACTGTGATCACATTTTCCAATCTATTCTGAATTTCAGATCTTTTCCAAATACCTTTGCTGATTACCTTCCCGAGTAAGCCTGCCTTTCAAATTATGACACCTTTTTACTGGCAGAAGCTATGGGTCCTTGGAGAATGAGTGTGCTTGGCAGACAAATCACAGCATTGCCAGGAAAGACAGATAGTCTTCTAACATAACATTGTCAAGTTAGTCTTTTCTCAAGAGAAATTTCCTCCAGCAGCCTAATGGTAAAGGACATTGCTGTTTTATCTGAAAGTTTTACATTTTCCAAAAGAAGAACAGTAAAATTACAGGACATAGGAAACAATTTGACTAATTGTCAGTGCTTGTGGGTTGTGTCTCATTAGGCAGCTTATGGGTGTGATCTCTACTCTTAACTAATAATGTTCTTATCCACAGCGCTTCTGATTGGCACCCACAGACAGACATTTTTCTTTAAAGTAGTATTTAATGGTATTGCTATAGGAGGGTCATAGGCTATTTAAAGACAAGCTAGAATCAAGCCTTAAAAGACTTAACTGATGAATAAGCAGATCTCCTGCACTGCAAGAACGATAAGCTGTTATAAGCCCTCAGGTCTAAAGTGCATCCTTTCTCCTGGAAACACAGCAGTTGTCTTCACTTCTTCCTAAAATTTACACTTGGTTCTACACATCACCACGTTTCTCTTATTCTATTGCCTTGCACATTTTAAGGTAAAGGAAGGCAGTTATGCTGCTTTATTTTCTCAAGATATACCAAATTATAATTTCATCGATCTAATGGGTCTTAATTGATCTAATGGATGGGGCTTTGAGCAACCTGGACTGGAGGGGGATGTCCCTGCCTGTAGCAGAGGTGTTGGAACTGGATGATCTTAAAGGTCCTTTCCAACCCAAACCATTCTATGATTCCATGATAATTATAGAATCATTTAGGTTGGAAAAGACCTGTAAGATCATCAAGTCCGACTAGCACTTACGACAACCAAGACTAAACTGTGCTCCTAAGAACCATATCCATGCTGCACAAATACCTCAAGGCATGGAGACTCGACCACTTCCCCTTGGGCAGCCTATTCCAAAGCCTGAGCACCCTCTCCATGGAGAAATTCTTCCTGACATCCAACCTAGACCTCTCCTGGCACAACTTGAAGCTCTTTCCTCATATCCTATCACTTGTCACCCAAGAAGAGAAACCGTCATTTCCTTGATGTAATCTGCTTTAAGGTAGTTGCAGAGGGTGATGAAGTTTCCTTCGGCTTCCTCATCTCTACACTAAACAAGCCCAGCTTGTGTAGCTGCTTCTCATGTCTCTTGTTTTCTCACATCTTCACAGCAAATCCATACCTTCCTGCTGTGAGGGGGCCCAAAACTGAACATAATACTGTCAGGACTTTGGTTTCACCAATGCCCCATACAGAGGGACCATCATAAGTAGTAAGCACTACATACTAAGTGGACTGAGAGATGAACAAAGTATCTAAAAACCTGTCTTTTCCTTTGTTCCCTTAGCTTTCATCAATATATGAAATACTTCCCAACTAGACTTTCTAAAACAACCATCACTGAAAATGAAAATAAGGCCTGAGGCAGAACAAGCACAAACATCAGTTACCATGGTCATTTTTTTTTTTTTTTTTTGATGCTTCTATTATTACTGTCATGTTGTTCCTCACCTCCCAGGCCAGATAACCCCCTCTGCCCAGTGCTACAATCATGCCCAAATCATTCAGCTTTTTCCAATAGCTTCATCAGTGGCCAGAAAAAGGTGCTACAAAGAAATGCTGATACAAGTCTTTATTTCTGCACTTTTCCTCCACCTCACTTTCCCTCACTTGTATATTTTGTTTCCCCATGGGGCTACCGCTCTAACAAACTATTGAAATGTCACTGAAATTTAAACATGATGTCACTGAGGTGTTTCAGCCCCTAGGAGAACATGACAGGGCAGAACAGGAACAGATGGCGTCGCCACGTAGATTTTGCAGAGGGCTTGTGGAGAGAAATAGCAGCACACTGGGTTAGGCTGTGGCAGCCTAGGAGAGAATTCAAACAGATAAACATCAAACAGACCCATCTGGCCTTGAAGCCCAATCTGTCACTTAAGATTGTTACTATTTAACAGAGACCATGGGGTCTTGGCCATGTTTATTATGCTGTGTAATCCCACCCCAGTTACATTTTTTGTTGCCCATCTAGAGACTGAGAGCTGCTGGAGGCAAGAGCGGGTACAAGAGCTGAGACACGCTGCTTCTGCCTTTATTGGCAGGGGAATTAACTTCAGCCTGTATATCATCTTGCTGATTAACTGTCTTGGGAGGAAAATTGAAAAGGACTGTACTTAAACTAGATATAATGCCGCCCTGTGACTTCTGGAGTCTTGCTATCTAGCATACCAATGGAAGGAGAAGAGGTAACACACGACCTCTCCTTAAAAAGTCTTTCTCATAGAGATGAAAAGGAAATAATCATATTCATAGGAGGTCTGTTCTCCAGTATTTCTTCACCAAGCAGTGATCCCAAGGCATGTGAGATGTCTGAGGACATTCAAAGGCAGAACCAGCTACAGAATTGGGCAACAATAACAGGGGAGGGGTTGGGGATTTGCCAATTTTCAATTACTAATTCGCTGTGCAATCTTCTGGCTGCGGGCAGGAATGAAGGGCAAAGGAAACTGGGCACTGCTGCAAACAGAGGAGCTATGCCCACTTTGAGTGGTGATGTCTTGGGAATAACAACTGGTGCTGACCTGTTCTCTCTCCCCTCAGTAGAAACTCCTTCCGCCCAATTTTCAAAGAATCATAGAATGGCATGGGTTGAAAAGTACCTTAAAGGTCATCTCATTTCAACCCCCCTGCTATGTGCAGGGTTGCCAACCACCAGACCAGGCTGCCCAGAGCCACATCCAGCCTGGCCTTGAATGCCTCCAGGGATGGGGCATCCACAACCTCCTTGGGCAACCTGTTCCAGCACATCACCACATTATCCCCAGAATGCTGAATGAAAGCAGTAGGGAACCAGTAGTACAGAGCAGAAACAGTCTGCTGAAACAGTTATTTGGGACCATCCCAAAAATGGTCAGTTTGAACTTTGATTAGAAGCAGAAATTGTAAGGAGCACTGATGACTCAGAGTGCCCTCTTTAATCTTTACCTGGGAGTTGTACTTAAAGGGAGCTTAGTAACAGAAGACAGAACAACTTTTTACAAAAAGGTAGATAATGATAAGAGAAGGGGGAGTGGTTTTAAACTAAAAGAGGAGAGATTTAAGTTAGATGTTAGGAGGAAATTTTTCACTCAAGAGGCTGAAGTGAAGCCCTGGCACAGCTGCCCAGAGAAGCTGTGGTGCTCCATCCCTGGAGGCATTCAAGGCCAGGCTGGATGGGGCCCTGGGCAGCCTGAGCTGCTGGGTGGCAGCCCTGCCCATGCAGGGGGTTGGAACTTGGATGACCTCTTCCAACCTAAACCACTCTATGATTCTGATGAAAAGTTTCCTTGGGAAAGAGGTGGAAAGACTGAAAGTTTTTGTGGGCGATGACATTCTGTAATAATGGAGCTGTGGGAGGGTGGGACCAATTACTGAGAAGAAAAAATACCTTCTCTCTTTGTCTTCGGGATAGTTTATTCTTCATTCCTTCCATTCAACAATTACAAATCAAGAACCTTATTTATCTCTTACACTCGGTAAGAAAAAAAGTGGAAGGTTCTTTACTTTGTTTTTATTCAAATATATTAAATGCCAAGCTTGAAAAACACAGAGACTGCAGCTTCAAGTGGAAATGTGATAATATATATATAGTTATATATATAATATATATAATAGTAAAATTATTAGTCTTTAAAAAGGTTAAAGTATTAAAATTGCCAAAATCAAAAGATCACCATCAGAAGTGTGATTGAACTTTTTTTGTTGTTGTTTCTGAAAATGAAAACCGGAGATTTAAATTTTTCATCTTTCTTTGCAAAAGAGTAGAAGTTCACAAGAATGTAGAACTTATTTCTTATTAAATAGCATTGTTAATTTATGAATTCTGCATATATATTTTTCTTTAATATTCACACAGACTTGCAAATAAAGGGATTTTCTTCTACCATAAATGTGTAAAAGCATTTCACTTGCACTGCTTTCTTTTTTCATCCACTACAAAAACAGCAGTTTAATTTCCATATCTTGCAAACCACTGAAAGTTTTAGGAAAGTCTAATTAGCAAGGGATACCAGAGAGAAAACGTGTATCAAATGGATGTCAATTCTTATTTATTTACCTTAAGGTAAGTCATTGCTACACACTTAAATCAGCATGAATCAAGTTACACCTACAGATGACCAGCAGGAATTAACTGTATTTTCAGATTGTGCAGTAATGCTTGGTAGAACATGTGATAGAGAGGAAAAGATGGATAGCAACCCCTCACATCACTTATAAGGGATGTTCCAACCCTCATACGCCTTCATGCTCCCAAAGGTTCCCAGTGGCCGAAGGTGTACAGTGCATTCACAGACATGATGCAGGTACTCACCCTACTACCACAATTATAAAATCTAGTAAATTCCAGCCATTGCGGAGGTAAGCGTTGGGATGAAAGAGAAGTCCATATGCTATTACTTTTAAAAATGCTTCCACTGTAAAAATTATGAGAAAGAGATATTCCACTCGTTCCTGGGGAGAAAAAAGAACAAGAAAGACAATGGTTAGCATGAGTGACAAACACTGGACAAGGACAGTTTTCTGCTGTCACATTCCACCTACACGGCCTCCAGCTCACTACTCATCACTTGGGTACATATAACATCTGTGACTTGCCAGAGGGCTTCCCTCCTCAGACTTGCATATTTTGCAACCAATCTGACAGGACAACGGCAGCAAATTTTGGTTAGGCGTTTGCTGCCTTTGCCATGGTAGGGACTGACCACTGCACAAGTGTGTGCACAAGAGGAGGGCAGAGGGTCCACAAGCATGTGCCAGCACCAGCTCTCTGTAGGAAACACTGCCAAGTGCTGTCACCCCTCTGAATGAACTGTATCCAGGTCTTTTCTACTTCTGGAAAGAAGGCGTTGCTGGATGCAGTGCTGCAGAGAAGGACAGGGAGAAATTCACTGATGAGTGTTTTGCACAATGTCTTTTTTGGGATTTCTTTTTTCTCTTGCTAGGAATAGGTAAGCTACTGGTTTGTCACCAGTTTCTGATTTTTGGATCAGGCTGACTAACACATGAAGCATTTAGTTATTCCATCAGAAATGTACATGTCCTTGTGAAATGAGGGCTGAAATTTAAGCACATTCCAAACAAAGTCACTTCTAGTGACAGTACAGTCCTATTCAAGCAGCCTTCAGGAGACAGCACACAAGCTCTCTGTCCTTCATCTCTGGGTTTTCAGCCCTGGAATGAAATAACAATAGTAGCTTTGCAGAAGTAATGTGGACCTCCATCTAAGTAGGAAGGAAACGGCAGCATTAGCTAATCACTACAGAAGTGCTGTGTGGCAAGCTGGGTTGGAAATAAGTACATGAAAACAAGATGACAGCAAAGGGAGACTAGGCCCCTTTTGAGTTTAAGCTGCAAAGTGAGGTATTAAGAGTATTTCTCATTCAAAAAATAAAAATCTCAAATAGAAATTAAAACAGCCCAGATAGTCTTGTTCATATCCTGTAGGATATGCAGCAAGACAATCAGGCAGCTCAGTGCTTTGTCTTTGCAGTTCCAAACTGCAGTTGCCCTGCTCCTCTGTCTTGTGGTGCTGATAAATGCATGTATGACAATTTCATATGACATAAAAACATAAAATGTGTGAGTTTACATAAGATCACTTCATCATTTGACTCAGTTGCCCATTTGAACTTCCTCCATTCAGATTCAGGTAATTAATAGCAACTCACTAGCAACTCATTAATCAAAAAATGTGATACTCGTCCATTTCCATGTTTATATTAGCATTCTTATTTTATAAGCCTGAGAAAGTCCATCTGATGGTAGCAGGTACATGCTTGCACTTTAAAATATCGATCTCTTCTCTCCCATAATGATACCACAACACTTGCAGTAGTGCCTGGAATTTACTACAAAGAACACCTAGAAAAGTACTGTTCTGTATTTATCTGATCCAGTAGTAAAGCTTTTGAACATGCCCACAATACAGAATTTGCTCAACATTGTTCCAGACAGACACAGATGAGGACACCAAGAATTTTTCTCCCACTGAACTCAGAGAAGAATGCAGCAGCTTACAGCACCAGTGACTACTGCATTAATGAATCTTACTCCCTGTTCCATCCAAAGGGTTTCCTACAGTTGTGGGCAAGTTCTTCTTCCCCTCAAAAAAGACCACCAGCAGCTCCAAGCCCACTCTCTCATTCAGACTGCCCTTGAGATTGCTGTTTGTACTCAATTCATTCTGCTCTGTAAGCAGAGAAAATGGCTCATGGAGAAACATGGGTTCCCCAAACAGCCTTCTCCTACAACGTCTCTTGGCAGTCAAAGGGATTTTGACTGCCCCATTCTCTTGGTTACCAGCTCCAGGTACAACTTGAACCTGACTGGCTAAACAACTGAAGGTCTGAGGCTGACCTCGTGCTCAGTGATTTATCTCTAAACATTGCCCCTGACCTCAAGAAACACTGGGACAAATGCTGCTGTGTCTGGCTCTGTGCTCTCTGTGGCAGCAGTGCTCTGCTGTACTGCTCTGCCCAGCCAGAAGAGCCTTTCCACTCCATGAATTTCATTGAAATACCTGTATTATACAACCAAAAGACCAAGAAGGCAAATACTTGAGAAAATTCTGGAAAAAAACTTTATCGTTATTTAGCACTGCACAAGCAGCCAGTATTTCAGCAGCTAACAGGTTCCACTGAGTTGGTTTAGGAGCCTCATACCACGCTGTCTCTGAAGATGTCTGTGGGATGATTGACTCCTGCTTCGTTGAACCACATCACTGAGGTAATAATATGCCAAAATCCTACATGCACACGCATATATATACATTTATATATATGCACGTATGCATATATGCTACAGGTTGTTTGAATAAACTCTTTACAATGCCTGGGTTACGATGGAAAGCTTCAAAAAAAGCAAAATTATATAAAAGCCTCTGAAATGAAGATAAGATACAGAATACTGAGCAGAGGAGTGAGATTTTATGATCCTCTGCACTTAAATTAATGATTTCAGGACTGAAGGAAAAATACTGCCCAACTTATACAGTGCAGCTACTCCAAGGCCATTTCAGGGAGCTGCTCACGCTCAGAATCGAGAAGAATTTGAAGAGCCTACTAATTAATTTGTGTTCCCTTTCTGCCGTACACCATAAAACTGAAGAGCTGTTATGAGCACAGCAAAGCCCAGCAGTGAGGAGACAGAAGCAGACTTCCAGGGACCTGGGTGCAGTCCCACTCAGTGCCCCCTGCCTGGAGAGCTCAGACATGACTCAGCCACCTGCTACCTTGGTTGGACATGAGAGGAACACCCAGTGCACTCGGCAGCCCCAGGACCATTAACCTGCCTCTGCTAAATGGGCAGCCGTGCCGCTGCTGGCTGCTCACTCCAAACTTTGCTCCCAGGAATTAGGCAGATTGGGCCCCAGTATTTCAGGCTCCCGAGGGGCATAACACCATAAAGTATCCAGAAACTCCTCTGAGAAGGCAGTTTTGTGCCATGTCAAAAGAATCCCAGAATCGTTTGAGTTAAAAGAGACCCTTACTGGCCATCTGGTCCAAGCCCCTGCAGTGAACAGGGACACTCACAGGTAGATCAGGTTGTTCAGAGCCCCATCCAGCCTGACCTTGAGCATCTCCAGGGACTGCTGGTGCTGCCTGCAACATTCTTGGAGGGAAAGGAGACACCACGGCACCGTCCCTTAAAAGCACATACTCAAACCACAGCATCAAAAGACAGCAAACATTCTGGAGCTGAAAGAAAGAGGGCATGGTATTTTTTCAGTTGCGTCTTAGGAATGGGAACCGTGCTGATGAGGTTTAGATTCAATAAGGATGTTGCAGGTTGCAGAATTACAAAGCAGGAGCTTCCTGTTTAAATAGTATTGATAAAAATGTTTCAAACGAAGAAAAAAAAAAACAACACCTAAGACAAACTACCAAACAGAAAAGCAAAATGAGTGGAAAAAGAGGACTGATAAAAGTTTTCTAAAACTGATCAGTGCCTGGAGAACACACATGGCTCTACCACTGTTCTCATTTGTTTTATTACAGATATAGGACATAAGCATCAGCTGCCCTGGCTGACAGACCAGCCAGCACCAGCACTGCCAAGAAACAAACTGTACATCATCTCATTCTTAAAGAAACAAACAGTAACTTGCTGCTGAGCCTCTAAGATGTATTTCCAAAAGAAGATTACTATATTAAGTACAAAGCCCCTCTAATCCCATGTGCTTTCTGAAGACGTCATAGATTTGTTTTTGTTTTTAATTTTTAAACGGTACCTAATGGCAGCCTGGGTTCACAGGCGGAGTCTGAAAACAGGAAATCCCAGCACAGCACTGTAGGGTGCCTTGGGGTTTTTCTCCTGCCATGAGAGGAGCAAGCAGACCATTGCTGCTCCTGGGGACCCAGTCATCAGAATGACTCTATCTCAGTCCTTAGCTCTTCAAACCCCATCCACCCAGCAGCTCTGTTTGCAGTGAGCACATTCTCAATGCAAGAGTTAGCCAGGGCTCAATCACAGTCAGAGCCTCGCACTTCATACATCCCAATCTAGAAAGTTTACAATCTGAAATTCACTCAGCACAGGTTCTCTCAAATATTGCTCTCTGTCTCTGCTAGAACTCTGCTTATCTTGTAACAAACAATTTCAAAATCTAGATTTTATGTATTTGAAGCAAAGTGCAGCAAGCTCTTCACAGATAGGACCCATCTAAAGCTGCCTGTGCGATGTTAGACCAAGTTACGTCAGTGTCTGCACTACTATTCCCTAGTGCTTCCCTAACATAACGGAATACAGTTCTTCAGTAATGCAAATATTCAGTTATCCAAGGAAAACAATGATATTTTAAGGGCCTCTGTCATATAGGATGTTTTCTCACTAATTGTACAAATAGGCTCTGAGAGATACAAGTCAGGGTGGGAACACTCAGACTTTTTCCGAGTAGGGAAAACTATATTTTGCTGATGGGAAGCAAGGAAACCGACTTGCAGAGCTGGAAAAACAGCCCTAATACTTTGTGCAAGAGATTTCTTTTTTTTTTTTTTTGGATTACAAGTTACCATCACATCTAAGATACAGATATCCCTGCTCTGTGAGTATGCTGACCTGAATGCTACCATTTGCTTAATAACTTCAACTTTCACTGTGAAAGAGCCACATGTGTGCATTTATATATAAGATCAAGTCAATAAAGCAGATGTTGAGACAGGTTTGTTAACACTGAGTTACTTCTGAGTGTATTTGGTTACTCAGGAGATGTTTCCAGCTAAGTATGCATGAAAATAGTACACAAATACATCAGGGAATAAAACCTATAAGTGTTTGGAATTTTTTGACTTATGAAAATGACTGCCACTGCAGAAAACACTGACCATTTCCCTTTTTTTTTTTTTTTTTAAATAAAAATAAAGGAACGATTAGATAGCGTATGGTTGAACATAACCTAATCTGCTGCTAATACTGGACCTAAAACACACTGTCCTTTCTACCAGTTCCTCCAA